GAATGGGAAACCTGGTCTTATATTTAAAGGAAAAAACCCTACTCAGAGCAGATGCTAGAAGCCTGTTGGCAGGGCCTGGGCTACCTGCTTGAAGAGTAAACATTTCTAAAAAGCAATGGGCCACACATTGGAGCGCAAGATCCCCCAGACTAATTTACAGAGCAAAAGGGATGGCTGTGGCATCATCGGTTTTGCCTGATGCATGCAGACTGCTGTTGGAAAAACCTATGTAGTGTGCAAGCAGATTTGCTTGTAATTTCTTTCTGGGTGTAGTTTCTGATCTTCAGAATAACTGACTGAGCTCCTGGCTTGGAAGCATGGAGCATGGGTGCCATGGCTTAAATGAACATGTATGGTTTTATCAGTGTAGCACACCCCGAGTGGCTTGTGATTCTCAACCAGGGTGTCGCGGGGTGCCACACAATGTTAGCACTGTTATGTGTGCCACGTGATTCACAAAATAAATCCAAAGCTTTCCAACAGGAATCTGTAGTCTTAAAACGTTTTTGACCCGTTATAATCCTTGTGAGTGCTTTGCATGGAAGAACTGCTCTATGTCTTTTGTGTAGTCAAAACAGGGTTGAAAATGAAGAGCTGGCATTTTCCAAGGGGTGCCTTGAGGCTCCTGAGGGGTGCCTCGAGTCTACAAAGGTTAAGGTGTGAGGATTTTGAAAGACTGGCAGCAAAGTGAGAGCTCCTGCGTATCTGCCTTCTCTTCCTCTTGCTGTCCAGACAGATTGCCTTTGTGTACATGGGAAAGACCTTGCTCATGAGAGAGTGTCTTCCTGTCAGCAAGTAAAGATGCTATTTTCCAAATAGCTTTGCTCTTAAGGGCCAATTGTAAGATCTTTTGTACGAGCCTTTTTTCCCCCTTTTTCTTTAGGTACCAGTCAACTGGGCAGCGGTTCATCAGATGTCGGTTGAAAGGAGATCAAATTGCATGGACTGATCTTCCAACTTGCCAACGTAAGGATATCCTCTGCTCTTGGGAAGACTGGAGGTGTGGAGCAGAATAACTGTGCTGAAGAGCTTCTCTTGACAGTGTCCAAAGGAGGAGGATTTTGTAGAGGTTTTGGAGAGGGGGCATGACGAGACCTTATACTGTTTAATCCCTCTGACTACCCACCTGGGGAAGCTTTTCATCACAGGGAGTTCCCCCTCCTTATCTGGACACCTCTTGACCAACTCTTGCTCTCTTCCAATGCAGCCTGCATGTTTGGTGGCCATTATATCAGCCAGATTTTACTGAAATATAGGCCCTCATGACAGGCCCCCTCTCCCCAGCAAACCTCCTGGATTTCTTCAAGCTCTTCTTCCTGTTAACAGCTGCTAGGGCTGTTAGTCGTAGTGGAAGAGAAGCAACGGCTGGTCTGCTTTTCCTATCCACATGGGTCTCG